ACACCAGCTCCAGGGATGCAGCCAGCTGTAGCATTTACCGTATGGGCTGTGCAAGAGGAGCTAGCCCAACCTACAGCAGACCTGGAGGACTGCACATGGATCAGCTTCCCAGGCTTCTGGGGCAGCCAGCAGCTACCACCTGTCTGAGTGCCTCGGTTGTCCCATCTGAAAAACAGCTCCTTTGTAAAGTGAGTTGAGATTTACTGGGACAAAACTCTGGGTGAATCCCCTCTGCACCTCTGGGGCAAGCTGTGATGATGCATGAAATGCAAGTGCTGCTGGATTTAACTCTGATGGTCTCACCCATAGTCTCACAAAATCACCTTAAATTAGAACCTAATGGGGTTGTTTCAATACACAGAAATGAGCTGGTCCCAAAGAGGCAAGACTTGTGATGTGCAATTGATGTAAAGGTTGAGTTCTCTCATTGAATCCTGCTGTAGCCTGGGGAAAAGTAGCGTGAGGGAGGCAGAGACCACTTCTCTCTCACACCAAATCACAAAATGGCTTTGGTTGGAAGTGACCTTAAAGCTCATCTAGTTCCCAACCCTCTGCTGTGGCAAGGACACCTTCCACTATACCAGGTTGCTCCATGCCCTGTCAAACATGGCCTTGAACACTTCCAGGGATGGGGCAGCCACAGCTTCTCTGGGCAACCTGTGCCAGGGCCTCATCACCCTCACAGCCAGAGTAGGTGAGGGCTTTGTCCTGGGATTTACCCCAGAGTTGGTGGGTGGGGCAGAATTTAGCTGTGTTTGCAAGGGAGATAAATTTCCAGGAATGTTAGGCTTTAGGACAAGATTATAATTTTCTTGGTTTTCTATAGACCAGTAGGACTGAGCATCCTCAGTTGTTCCAATGCTGTGGGTGCTGCCTTCTGGCCTCCACTCTGAGCTGTACCTCTGTTTGCTGTAATTAACTCACACACTGAGGTGGTTAATGACAACATGTCACTGCCTCGGAGTCTGAAGAGCAGTTGTCAGAGGGCTGTCCACAGAGGGAAAAGGGAGATGCTGGCACAGACCACCCCACAGCACCAGGTCTCTCTGCTCATCAATTATCTGCTTTACAGCAGCGCTGATTTGCCATAAACTCAGGACCCTGCTGGGCTCCAGAGTGGGGAACATTCCCTGGCACGAGGGATGCTTTATCCCTCAAGTGTGAAATTGCTGCATGGGGAAATGAAGAAGGAACATTAATTCATGTGATAGCTTTGCTGTGGAAAGATATTTCATATGCCTTCATATGCAAAATGCTCCAGGCATACTAATGACCCTCCGGTGTAGGTACTGCTATTAGAGTTATGCTTTGTTATTGGAATGAAAATGAGGGACTGAACTTATCCTGGACACAAGCTGGTGGGCAGCAGTGAGATTACAGGAGCAGGAATTTGCCCCTGTTATTTTGTTATGAGTCTGACATTTCTCATACTTTATTAAAAATATAAAAATTTCTAACAAGTGGAGACGCTCACTTGCATAGCAGGTATGGGTCCTTAAGGAAGGAAAGGAAAGACAAGAAGGTGCCAAGGCACCTTTTTTCTTTTTTTTTTTAAACTTTTCATGGAATCATAGAATCACAGAATGGTTTGGGTTGGAAGGGAGCTTAGAGGTCATCCCCTTCCAAACACCCTGACAGGGGCAAGGACACCCACAGGACCAGGTTGCTCCAAGTCCCATCCAACCTGACCTTGAACACTTGGTCAGGGCTCAGAACAACCTGGTCCAGTGGAAGGTGTTCCTGCCTGTGGCAAGAGGGTGTAATGAGATGATCTTTTAGGTCCCTTCCAACCCAAACCAGTCTGTGATTCTCAGATTCCGAGAAGAAGAATGCTTGTGGGTTCATATTACACTGCAGACATGCATGTTTGTCCTCATAGATATCAGATATTTACTAAAGATAAAGTTTGGAAAGAACAATTTTTCAAAGCAAACTCATTACCAGGTCTGGTAGAAAGGCAGAAACCTTCATAAACTTGAAAAATGTTTGAGTAATATTAAGTTGGCACATAATGATATTTTGATGTTAACAGTGAGTAGAATGAATATATATATGTATGACATGACTTATTTAAGGTCTTAGATTATCCCTGAATTGTTTGATATTTTATATATAGCACATGGTATTAAAAAACCCTAATATCTACCAGTAGAGCCCTCACAATTGTATCTGGAAACAACACAGTTCTTCTCCAGTGTGTATATAAAAAACACCTGGATGTTAGTGGTCAGCAAATGTTGCCCAATTGATGGCAACTGTTGTCAACATCAACAAAAATAGATGGAATAATTAAACATTTCTTCTGGCATTATCAGATACAGAATGTGCAGCTTTGACCACAAATGATGACAAATTCACTTGGCTACAACCTCAAATTTTTTAGGGAAAAATTATCTGCTGAAAACATGCCAAAAGTCACATTATTCTCTTACTGACTGTAATCCACCACTGCATCACTGCACTGTTATAACAGAAAGACAGAATCATTTAGCTTGGAAAAGACCTCTAAGATATCTGTGTGTTATTGTACATGTGGCTGGCAGAAGATGATTTTTTAATGTTATCATGTTAATATTATATTTAATAATATTATATTTTACTCTAAAAAATAAAAATAGGTTTAAAAAAGCAATAGGGACCAATACCTCTTCTTTCACTGTAAATGTTTCCAAGTCTTAAAAAAGTCCCAAGGGTCTCATCATAAATATATGACATAAAAAAGGGGTAATTACTGGTCTATCTAAACTGAGATCCAAACCCAATGTACATGGCATGAAAAACCTCTTCCCTAAACAATTTAGGCAAGTGTTGCAGTACAGGGGAAAGGAGACAGGGGATAAATTCTGCTTTTTCCAACTGTCTTATTCAACCAATCTTTCCCCCGTGGTATTATTCTCAGAGGAAATTGATTTGAGCCAGGTGAAGGAAGTATGCTGAAATGCCATGGTTTCTCCCTTTATACACCATGGGAATTTGATTCCTGTTGACAAATTGCAAGTCTTTAGCATAAACAGTCTGCTTGGGAAACCGAACCATCCTGGCCCCAGGTAACTGTTGTGTAAGTTCTTGGCATCCTGAAATATTAATTAATTAATTAAACAAAGAGAAAAAGTTATTAAAATAATTGGGTTTCTAATTTGCTTGATCGGAAGCAGCAGCATGTATTTTATTCCCTCATCCCAGTCCAGTGCAAGCTCCACAGCAGCAGCAGGGGTCAGTTTGACCAAGGATGAACAATATATCCTACCCTAAAGGTGCTGGTTATTTGCCCATAACCAGTGCCAAGGCTTGACTAACTGATTGCTAAAGCAAACAGCCGTGAAGAATACTTGTGGAAATGCCTCTTCTTGGCCTCAGATGTTTGCAAGGTAACAAAGGCAGGGGCTGTTCCTATGGCTTCTTGGCAGCAAAAGGGTTGCTGTTCCTTCAGGGTGGGTTTTGCTCCACAAAGACTGAGTGCTTGCAAGCTGTGATGCTGCCAATGTGATGAGGTTGGAATGCTGGCTTTTATATCAAGTAACCACTCTCCAGCCAGAAACAGTGTTTTCTACAGCTCAGAAACACCCAACAATAGGGAGAAAGGCAGAATATTAAAAATAGACACCTCCAGAACTTGGATAGCTATAAGACATGAACAACTCTCACTGTTTTCATAGAATCAGAGTCACTGGAGAAGGCCTCCAAGATTATTGAGTCCAACCTTTGACTGATCAAGCAGACCAGTGCACTAAGTACCACATCCAGCCATTTCTTGAATCCCACCAGGGATGGGGACTCCACTACCTCTTTGGGCAGACTGTTCCCTCTGGAAACCTGGTGGGTCTGGCTGCTCTCCTTGGATCCCACCTCACACCAGGTCCCCCAGGTGCCTCTGAACCATGGCAGCAGTTGGTGCCTGTTTGCAGGGGCTGTACCCAGGCATTTATTCAAGCTTTAGGGTCCCTATTGGAAGCACACCCTGTTTAAAGAGGGAAGGAGTAACTCACTGTGTGCTGTTACAAGGATTGCTCCGATTCATTTCCAGGGATGAGCTGCGGGGCTGGCTGGCAGCAGCCAATTCCTCTGCAAGTGCCTCGGTGCTGAGCCCTCTGAATGTTCCAGGAGTCAGCCCTCCACTATTGCCTGTGTTGCCTTTACATCAGGAGCTTCAAATCCCAGGTTTCCAACTCTCCTTTTCCAGACACTTTTTGCATGGGTTCAGTAAGCCTTGCTGCAGGGTAAAATACAAGCAATAAAGAGGTTTTTGAGGTTGATTTAGTGCCTTAGCATCACTCCAGTTATTTATCTCTCCACAGTGAAGGTTTATTGCTGTGTATACCCCAGACTGATAAAGATTATCACTGAATTAATTCACAACAAGTGTGTTGTTAGGCTTGAAGCCAAATACTCTGTGTTATCACTGTGCATAAATATTTCAGAGTAATTTCTCAATGATCCTGTCTTAAATGGACTTCTAAAGAAAAACCTTCCCAAATAAACTATCTTGAAAGTAAAAAGAACAAACATCACCATGTTCTTGCATCAGATCAAATATATCTGACGCATTTGTTACTGGACTCAGGGTGTGTTACCCAGCATGATGCCCAGTTTCCCTGGAATGCAGCAGAACTTCTCCCCTGCCTCCATCGTCTTCATGCTCTTTGAAGAAGGAACATGCAGGGAATGTGCTTCCCTCTCAGTTCTTGACCTTCGAGGGCATTTCTGTCTTCCCACTTTCTGTCTTCCACTTTCTCATCAGAGCACTAAGACTTCTCTTGCACTTTCAGTTTCTACCCAGGAGCAGTGAAAGGCTCTCCCTCACTGCTGGCTGTTTTGAAGGAGCTGACACTTCAAAGAGATACTGGAGTTATAGGGGCTGGTGATGAGAACACAGTTCAAAAGAAGCCAGAAATGTTTGGGCATGGGCCAGAATCATTTTATGTTTGTGCAAATGACAGAAAGTTTCCATCATCTGTTGAAAAAATATTCTAAAAATAACTTTCTCTCGAGTGTTGCATATCCTGAGACCTGAGCAGATGACATGGGTGCTGGCAGTTTGGAGACCTTCACCTGTGAGAGGAAGGGAAAGAGGTTCAAAAACAGTGAAAGGTCAGGACCTTCTCAATACTTCACTGTTGTCACTGTTTAAGGTATATTTCTTCTGAAAACAGGCAGGACAAACACATGTCTTCCCTCAATTGCATCTCACAGCCACATTTTTGCTGTCCAGGTCCATAACACGAAGTTCTGTATGACATAATCTTACATTGGAAGGGAAGAAACTTTCCACCTTCTTTTACAATAGGATATGCAGGAGTTTATCTAAGCCTTTTCCTTCCAGGAAGAGTCACTGTGCTGGTGCTACAGGGAGCTGGCCCAGGAGGTTGTAATGAGGCTGTAAGCAAACCACTGGGTGATATATAGCCCAGGAGCATTTTGTGGACTTGGCAGCACCTCAAGCTTCTGTTTCAGCTAAAGGCCCTTTCATTTAAGATGCTGGAGCACCAAGGATTAGGTGCTATTGTGCCTGCTTGGATGCCACAGGGGATCTTCAATGGTCAACTGTAGGTTCATAGGGTGGCCATCACTTCAAAGTGTAGGGTGAAGGTGCTGGGAGAGCGAAGTGTGTCCCTGGGCTCACGGTTTTTTGCAGCAGTGCTTCACAAACAGTGTCACAAGTCAGCCCATGATTTATCAGGGGATGGGAACTTGGCCTGCTTACCAAGCTGGGGCCAGTCCCACTGTGGAACTGGCTTCTATATCTTAAACAAACCAGTTAAAGAAAAGCAATGTGTCTCATCTTTGTGTTGGAAGACATCCCAGTGCAAGGTCTGTTTGCCTTGCTTTGGAAACTGTGGCTGAAAAGTAATTTGTGAAGGGGAGCAGCAAAAAAGTAAATGTTTTGGAGTATGATGGACCCAGCTGACACCTCCATTTGTCCAGCAGGTCAGGCCATGCTGACATGGGCTGCTCCCAGCCAGGCCACCAGCTCCTGCTTCAGGGAGAGCACTTGGGTGCAAGCTGTGCCTGGAGCTCCCTGTCCCCAAACAGGACATGAAGGGATGATGGAGGCACACGGAGAGAGATGAAGTGTGGGATGTGTGACTCACTGGCAGGAGAGAGGAACTTAGATTTGGCCAGTGAGGTTGTCCTAGTGATCTCAGCATTTGGAGAGGGTAAGTGTTGATCTACCTACTTATTTTGAGGGGACAGCTTTGTACAACCCACCAAGACTTCCACTGCAGCTGGTGAGCTGCTTGCTCAGGGTTTAAAAGAGGCTGAAGCTGTGACATGACCATGGTCTGCCATTAACTGCAAGAGAAAAATTACGTAGCAAGGGCTGCTTGGTTAAGTAGAAACAGGCATAACAAAATCCTGCTGCATTCCCAAGGTAACCAGAGCAAGTAAAATGCAAAACTGAGCAAACAGCACTGTGCTGGGGGCTCTTCCCTGTGCAAATCCTGCTGATGTGCATCACATGAGGCAGTTTACAGTGAAGTCTCAACAGGAGTTTCTTGCCAAGATTATCTTCCTTCTTCACCCGTAAAACTGTATTTTAAAAAGGACATGGGTGGTCCATCACTCCATGGAAGGTGGGGAGGCTGTGCAGCATCCACACCTTGTTCCTCCTGCTGCCTCCTGAAATGACCTTGGAAGGCCTGGCAGCCTCTCATCTGCAGCCCCAGCAAGGAGCATTGCTACTCAGAGAACTTTTAATGTAAGTTTCAAGCAACAATAAAATGTTATACACCTGAAATTTGGATGTCTGACTGACGGAGAATGCCAGGGAAAGCCAGAGGTTAAGCCTTTAATTATAGCTATTTTGGAGGATCACTTAGTGCGCTACATAACTTGCATAAGCCCCAGTTGCATCCTATGGGTGTGTCACCCTAAGCAGCAAAATTATTAGTGATGCCATTATTCCCTTAAAGGGAAAACTGTCTTACAGGTCTACTAAGGGCACTTTGCAGAGGTATCCGGAAGCCAAAGGTGGCAAGATGGCTTAAGAGCTTTTGCCAAGAGAGGAACCCCATGAGGCGAGGCAGGGTTAGTCCTGAATCCTGCCCACACCTCCCAGCACAGCTCTAACTTTCACCGTGGCTGAAGGCTCGGGCTGTGGCTGCACCGGAGCAGTGGCCAGGCCCTGCAAGCCAGGCTTTGTCCCCATCCTCTTGTTCTGATTCCCAGGCGTGTGGCAATCGGGCTGTCCCCAGGGGCAAACGGGGTGTAAATCACTAATTAATGCCTCCCGTCGGCGAGCCATTCAAGCCCATTTGTGCTTGCTGGAGATATGCAGCACAGGCTCCCCGGAGAGATATTCTATAATCTGTTACTAATCACCGAGGCTTCAAAACCATTTAAAAGGCTGTGCCTGCCGCTCGTCCCCATGCAAACATCAATCACGCTCTCTCTGATGCTATGCCCTGAAATTCTGCATCGCTTTTGAACGCTTGTCCCCCAGTCCTGACATCCAGCTTGTTTCATTGTCGGTGGTGATGTCGTTTAAGGTATTCCCTGTTGCTTGGAGGGTGGTTGAGGGGATTTGATGAGAAAATACAAAGAGGCTATGGCACAGTAAGAGCCAGAAAGCATTGCACTTTTTCAGAGCATCAAGAGCAGCAGTTTGTAGTGGTAAGTCAGGTTTAATGCTGCACACACACGGGTATGTGTGTTAAAAGGTTCAGGAGACCTGGCCACAGCTGGGATCCGGTGTGTTAAGCATCAATCAGATATAGAGAAGGTGGCACTAAGGAACTCGTTAAAGAATTTTTTAAGCCAACAAACTGATGGCCAAATAAACCCAAATCCCTCCAGGGTCAATTCTTGGGTGTTAGAGCAGTCTTTGGACATGTGAAAACTTTAATGCTTCAGCTAAAATAAAAGTTTACCATAAGCGCTTCTTGAAATTGAGGCAGCCAGAAAATCTCATACACTCTGGCTTTAGCTCAGCTTAGTGAGATATTCACATGGCAAGGAACACGTCCCAGCGAGTATGATTTGGGACACTGGAGGAAATCAGATTTTTAATTACTCTTGGCATTTCAGTGCCAGCAGTCAACCTGCTGGAAAATGACATCACCAGTGATCAGAGCAGAATGTCAGTCTGCCAAACCAGTTTGCCAGCCTGTCACTGGGAGGAGTTTTCTATCTGTAAATTTATCTGTCTCTTCAACATGAAATTTTTGGACACCATTAGTCTTCTTTCAAAAAACAAATAGGCTCTAATTTTATGCCTGCAATCAAGTAGGAGCATAAATTTTCCCCAGCAGCACTTAATTTTCCATACATCCAGTATTTTCCCTAGTAATTGAGAATCAAAATTTCTTCACCAACAGTGTTTTTATGAAAGCAGCCTGATTGATTCCTCTAATTAGTTGGCAATCACGAAGCATTGTATTTAAAAATGTACAAATACCAAAGACTTGAGGATTCATATTGAGACAGTGGCATCCTTGATGATTTCAAATGTGGAAGTTTCTTTTGCTCACAGGTGAACTGGCTCAGTCTGTAGGGATGAAGTCTAAACCTTGTACAAGCACAACATGAAAATCTCTCCTTTTTTATGGGGACATCCAGTCTCGACCTGCAGCGAGTGCTGGAAGGGACCTGAGGACTGAGACCACAGCACCTCGTTCCTGCTGACCCACATTGCAGGGCTGGGCAGCACAGAGATGGGCTGGAGAGCCTGAACATAATCAAGGACTATCCCAAGCCAGGGCTAACACTCCTTCTGTTCCATGAGAACCAAAGCAAATATTTTAAAAGTTAGTTATTCTTCCCAAGAGATTAATTGCCAGCCAAAAAATAGATTTTAAAGCTGTTTCTACTGCCAATTGAAGAGCTCTGTTTGTGTAGATATTGTGATGACACCTTAATAGGCTGTTGCTCATCTCTGTGATCTGTGGGACTCAGTACGCTCTGCTCTTCACATCATGGGCAATTTAGGGGAATTAGTCCTTAATTTGCTTCCATAAATGATGTTTTTTCCTTTTGAGTTGCATAATTTTGGATGTGATCCTCCACATCAGAGGAGGCAGCGACCTTGTTCAGCAGCTTCCCAGGAGAAGAAAAGAGCCCTGGATGCTACCCTGCCTACACCAGGGCCCTGGAAAGCCAAACAGGCTGCTGCTGCTCCCAGCAGTGGTGTGGGGACAGGTGCATGTAGCAGAGTCACCCTTCTCTCCAGCAACAGCTATTTCTTCTCTCTCTCATCCCAGTGGGAACAGCCAGCCCACCTCCCCCAAATATCTGCTAATTTCTCTTCATTCATTTTCTCCCCTTTCTTAGGAAGAAATGGCCCAGTCCTGACCAGTTCTCAACTCATTCTTGGGCAACTGATATCCAGTCCTGCCCGTGCTGCAGAGGAGTTGTAAGCCTGGCTCTCGCAGTGTGTGTGTGCGTGGGAGGGTGTGTTGGTGTTGAAACTATTTCTATTCCTTCATCAGTATTCAATTTATTTAAAAAATAAATAAAAAGTCCTGGGAGCCTTAATGTATTGTTTAATCAGCAAAGAGCTAGTTAGCAAATGAAAATGGGTGGCTGAGCCAGTTGCAAAATTCTTGGAAATAATTCAGTGATTGCATTGGAAGGAAAATACCCCAGGACAGAACTTTCCAGAGGGGGAATGCAATTGAGATTCTGCTCAGTTCTTTTTGAATAAATGAGGACTATCTGGATGGCTACCTTCAATGAATCATCAAAGAGGAGCTGTAAGTAAAGGTATTGAGCCCCCTTTTGTACTGGAAGCTGGTTTCTCCTGAAAGCATTTTACACGATAAGCTGCACTGCAGGGAAGCTCAGAGATAAGGGCTCTGTGTGTGTGTGTGTGTGAGGTCTTGCTGTCAAAGAATAACTTACATCCACTGCAGCCTGTTACATCACCACTTAATGCTTTCATCTCTTAGCTCTGTTTATAATCCATGATAACAAAATTCAGAGGCACGTTTTCAGGCCCAAGTGCTGGAAGGAAGGAGCCCAGCCCCAGACCTCCAGTGTATCTGTGGACAGCTGCTCTCCAGATGATGCTCCCCTTGTGCATGAAGATTGTGTCTGCAGGCACAGCCTCTGCACCTCTGTGGTTTGGAGTTTGCTTGGCTTCAGGTTGCCCTGGAAGCAGCCCAGGGATGGGCATAGAGAAACTCTTGCCAGCATTGAATGCAACCCTAGACACTAGTGTTAGTGTCAGGAGAATCTGGTGTTAGGGAGATGGTGTTAGGGACCACTGGAAATTCAGGAAACTGTTGCCAAATTGACTTTTGTGCTTGTTGGTCATCATCATCCCTTCCACAAGCTGTGTCCTAGTGACTGCTGAAAGCTGCAGCCTGTGAAAAGAACAGAGGAAGTGTCCTGAGATCTGGGGAGAAGTGATATACATAGAGATGGATGAGTTATGTGTTAAGCATTAGAGGAGTTCCAAACATGTTTTTATATTCTGTATCCTGCCTTTCATGTCTTCAGCAGTAGGAAAAATGTTTTCTTTACATTTTTGCCTGGAAAAACAATTATGAATGTTAATTATGCTGACCAGGAGGTGGAACAGGAGTTGGCCAGGAAGGGCTTTTCTCTGCTCATAAACAGGAAGACTCAACCTTTCCCACCATTCTCCATGTTTTGGAGATGAAGGTGTTGTGAGGATTTCCAGGAGCTGGAAAATGGGGCTTCAGTGGAAAAACCAGAATGAAGAAAAGAAAAAAGAGAACAACAGAGCAAAGGCCCTGGCACTGTCCAGGAGCAGACTCTGCTCCCAGCCTGCTGAAGGATACAGGCACTTCATCGGCTCTTTGGAAGCTCTCCAGGATTTTCCTGTAACCTAACAATCTCTGTTGAGGGGTGTGGAAGCACCCAATACCCTCTCCCACCTCTAAATTACAGAGATCACCTGGGCAGAGGTCTGAGTTATACACAGAGCTCTATGCCCTGCTCAGCTCCACTGTTACAGAATTATGGGGGTCCCACAGAAAGGAATGCTTGGGGAGAAAACCCTTCTTTGCTCATGTACCTGAGGTTACCAATCTGAAGCCCAGTGTTTCTCCTCAGATTCTGGCATGTGGATTCTGGCTTGGTAAACACTGAACATTTACTTTAGAAACATGGGTTTTGTAGTAAAAAATGTGTTAGGTTTTCCTGATTGCAAGTCTTGACCTTGGTACCTCTGCTGAATGCAGCACCATGCAGGACTCTGAGAATTTGAACTCTGCCATTTCATGCTCTGAAAGCACCTCAGTTGGGTCTATGTAATAAATTTCCCCTTTTCCATATTGCAGAATACTGTGCATTTATGTAACCTGCCACACAATTTTCCCTGCCAACAATTTTGAGTCAATTTTGCCTAAAACCACCGAGCACCTTAAATGTCACCTCAAAATTATCTCTGTGAAAAACTGTTCTTTCCTTTTTTCTCTTATGACAACTAGTTTCATTCCAATCTGGGGGCTATTTTGTCTTTCTCTTTTCCTCAGCACAAAATCACTCCCAGAGCTGCTGTCTGTTCCAGGAGCAGAGGGCCAGGAGGATGGCAAGTGCAGTGACAGGTGGCTGTGTCTGCTGGGCACATAGCAGTCATCAGTCAGAGGTGTTCTCATGGTGCCATCTGAACACAAGAACATGGTGCAGCCTGGGCATTGAACCACTTGGGATGCCTGTGCAGTGGGTAGAAATACACATATCAAATATGAGGTTACCTGTGTGCAAAAATAAAGGCAAAGTTGCAGATTTGAGTCTCCTTTCTAGGCTTTTCAGATCACTTATCCTTGCCTCTTCCCAGGACGCAGGGAACTAGGGCAGAGTAATTTGATAACCAAGCAAGTAATTTCCCCTCATTTTGCTTCACTATTCTCATCTGGAAAAGGGGAAACAGTAAAATTAACTTCTTCTTGAGGGGATTGTGAAAACGAGCTGGCTGCTGGCTGCAGAAAGCTGCAGGATTCGTGAGCTGGCAGTGGCTAGATCGACCATGTGTTATTATTTTATATTGGATAAACAAAGTAATTTCCCAAGGGTCTTTAAGATAACATTGCCTTTTAGTGAGTGTTAATTGACTTTGCTGTAAGCCACCCAATTTGTGCTTGTATCCCTTAATTAAAACCCCTTAATATTTGTGCCTGTATCCCTTAATAACTGCATGGCCCAAATGTTCTCGGGACAAGGTAAATATTTTAAAAATTAAGTTTCCTCTATGTTCTGTTTGTCAGAAGTGGTGCCTTGCCCTCCATGCAGTGATTCACCGTGTCCATTCTCCTTCCTCCCTCAGCAAAGTGGCAGTGCCAGCCACCGGCCCCTCTGACGTCTGGGATGTTCTCGGAAGCAGCTCTGTCCTCCAGCATCTGCCAAACAGGAATTGCTGCTGAGGTGTCCCAGGTGGGATGTGCCAGGGACCTGCACCTCATCTGGTGGTAAGGTATTTCAGCAGGGGAGAGGTAGAGAATGTTGTGCCATAACAGAAGTTTATAAATTAAATCTAGAGGTGGTGGAAGCCTGGAGAAGCAGATGGATCAGCAGAGCCTAAGGGAACAGGGTGCCATCTCCCTTTCCTAATTTCCAGAGCCCAGAGACACTGTGTTGGGTGAAGGCCAGACTAGGATGGAAACAGATTTCCTGTAGCCGAGGATATTTGGCTGTTTCTCTGTTCCACCTCCTGCCTGTAGTAGTCCCAAAGCTTTTGGAGGATGTCCTGGAGCACACACTGTAGAGATAGTATCCAACTGCAGGAGAAGTCCCATGGCAAAGGGTTGTTTATGCAGTAGCTGAGGACATGCCCTCATTTGTAACTTTTGAGCAAGTGCAGATGGCTCCAAGTCCTGGGACTCCAACCAGCACTTTCTGAATAGGGAACAGAAGTGTCCTGGCACTAAAGAGAGCTGCCTGCCTGCAACTGGCAAGGAAGATCACTATGGAGCAACTGAGACTCATTGTGTGCTCTTGGGAGCCCCTGGCAGAGACCTTTTACTTTTCATGGGGCTTTTTCTTCTCTTCCTGGTGTTCTGAATTTTCTTTCCTTGAGAAACTCTATGAAGAGCCTGGTGCCAGCAGTGCTTCCGCCAGCTTTAAACAGAGCTTGGTTGCTCCCCAGGATTGCTGTGAGGAAAAATGCAAACTCCTTGCCTGCAGAGTTCCTTGGCACAGGCTGTTCCCTGTACTGAGACCCCCTCTGGCCCTGGAGTCCATCACTGGCAATGACTGGGGAGTAGCTGCTCTGTGTTTGCCCAAAATCTCTATTCTTGGTTTATATTTGGGGCATAGCAAACTAGATTCACAGAATCATTAGGATTGGAAAAAACCTCCAAGATCATCAAGTCCAACCTGTGACCCATCCCCACCTTGTCACCCAGACCAGAGCACTGAGTGCCACATCCAGTCAATTCCTTGGACACCTCCAGGGATGGGACTCCACCACCTTCTTGGGAAGCCCCTTCCAATGCCTGACAACCCTTTCCATGAAAAAATTCTTCTTGATCCCTACCTGAACCTTCTTGGGCACAGTTGGAGTCCATTTCCTCTTGTCCTGTTCCTTGTTCCCAGGGAGCAGAGCCCGACCCCTGCCTGGCTCCCCCATCCTGTCAGGGAGTTGCAGAGAGTGAGAAGGTCCCCCCTGATCCTCCTTTTCTCCAGGTTGAGCCCCCCCAGCTCCCTCAGCCCCTCCTCACATGACTTACTTTACTTTACTCAACCTTTTACTTTACTCCTTCATCCGCCCTCCAAAATCTCCTGTTGACTTCAGTGTCTAAGCAGCCTCAGAGTACCCTGGAGAGCACAAAACATGCTCCATAAGACAACTTGGGCAGCCCTGGGGCTGTAGAGCTCTCTATCACATGTCCAAGATCAGCATTTTAATCAGTCTCAGGTGATCAGCAATGAGATTATGGTCTGAATGTATTTCTGTGATGTCCCTGATGGATATACAAGAGTCAGCAAGGACTTGGCTCTACAGGAAATTTCTGGATTTAGCAATGCACTTCTAAGGCTTTTGTTAAATTCTTGACAGTTTTGAAAGAAGTTAATTCATTATTGGAGCTAAAACTGTCGTGAGAGACTCATGAGGCCATAAAATGCCTGTCTGAGTATTTAACTGGAGCTCACAGTTTGTGCATAGTTTATCAGCAGTTGGGGGAAGAGCAAGTAAGGATTCCAGATTGGAAATACTGAGCAGGTACTTGGAGGCTCAGTGTCAAAGCTGTTTCAGCAGGATAATTTCCTTACTGCTTCCCCTCCTGGACTTGCTTTTAGACACGTGAGCTTATATTATATTCTAATCCTCAGCCTTCAATATTTTTTTTCTGTCCCAGAAATGAAAAGGTACAAGATTTAAGAGTGAGACTCAGTGTGCTTAAAAGGACTTGATCTTGCCTGGAGAGTCAGACACATATGCAAAATTTTAAGGATTCACTGTGAAATCCCCTCTAATAAGGCCTCCTCCTAAATCTATCTAAACCAGCAGGAGCTTTTCCATTGACTCTAACGGGCTTTGGAAAATGCTCTGTAACACAGCAGGGAGCTCTTGTCTAGCAAAACATGCTCTCCTAAGGCAAAGTCCATGCTCTTTCTTAGAGATTAGATATGTGAGCAATCCAGGTGGTCCTTGGTGGCCCTTAATTCATAGTGCTCACTGTTCCCTTCTCCAGAGGGAGAGCAGACAGGTTCTGCTCGGAAAGGCATCTGGAGACCCTGGGCTAGGGTTGCTCAGGCAAGGAGGTGATGCCACACGGGAGGAGAGATGCTTGATGGAAAACAGGAAGGGGGAGGACGCTGCCCGATATCTTCCTAATTATCACTACCAGTTCATTTGGATGAAATCCATCAGCTATGCAAGGAAAAATTCAAGACATTTTATGCCAGGCTGGTGTGTTCATTTTGGAAATGCTGAGAACTGGGCAGAGGTGGTGACCCCCTGTGTAGGGCTACAGGTCCAGTGCCAGGGCCATGTGGAATAGCAACAGGCTGCTACTGGGGCTGGAGGGCACTGGCAAAGGGCCTATGAGTGCCCTGGGCTGGGCTGGTTTGTATCTCTGTAGTTATGATTTAGTTGTCTGCCACTTGCTGATGTCAAAGCATCATTTCCACCAGCATTAAAGAGCATGAGCCGCTTATGAAACACCCCTCCTTCCCATTTCCCCAGGAATAAACATCAGCAGTCACATAACTCCTGTTCTTTTGTGCCTTCTCATGGCTGAGCTAATTTGAGAGGTCAAGTTGAACACAGTAACTGTAGACACCTTCCCTGAGATGTGGACATGAGTCCAGGAGCCAGGCATTCAAGGTTATTTATAGACCGTGCCCAGGGAGAGGAGAGGGCAAGAGGCTTGTTTTAAAGGAAAATAGGCAGGGACAATTAGAAATATTTGGGAGACTTTTGCTTCTTTCAAATTCCAACCAATGCCAGGATGATTTTTTTCACTGGAGAAAGAAGTTACCAAAGAGGAGGCCTTCTTTTTAAGGTCTTTATCACACACACATCCAAAAAACTGTGCGGAGGTGAAGCGGGGGAAATACATCCTGATAATTTGCTTGTGAAGTACCTTAGATTGACACAAACTTCTCCCTGGAGTCTAATGTTCCCAGAGCTTATTATACAGTTTTCTGGCTATAAAATAATCAGGAGAGGCAAAAAGAAGAGTTTTGGCTTCTGGCATGAGCACGGATGACACAGTTCAGCATCCCACTTCATGGGAAGATGAGACAAGCAATCTGTTTGACCAGAGAGAAAGCAGGGGTTGAGAAAACCCTCACAATAATGCAGAGGAATTCCCACTTCAGACTTTTTGGTTCTTTTCTCCTCCACACAAACTGGCAGCAGAGGCAGTGACTGATGGGAGGACAGTTCATGTGGGAAGCTGCACAGAAAGGATAGGAAAAGGCAGGGTGAGTTACATTTGGAGGGAGAGGGCTTGAGAGAGAACATGTTGGTGAGCAGGAGATAGTACTGTCCAGGAACAGGACTATAAAGAGCAGTGGGAAAGTGGGGAAGGAGAAGAGCCAGGACCAGATGAAAACTGTTCTCAGTGGAAGGGTGGAAGATCAAGAGGCAAGGAAGGGATAGCTTGGGGGAACGCAGAGGGAGAAATGAGTCATCTAACCTGGAGTCCCCTTGGACACTGCCACAAACAACAAGGATTGACTGGGAATGGCAGCATCCAAAAGATGCAAAATGCAGCAAACTCCATTTGAGTGAGCTGCTTGCAGTAAAGAGCAGCCCAGGGATCCACCATACTCCCAGGATTGGAAGGGAGGGCATGCAGGCTGCTGTGAGACCTGCAGGGTGAAGGGCACTGCACTCCCTTGCAGGAAGACGCCAGGCAACCCACTAACAGCAAAAAAGGAAACGAGCCTTTTGCAAAAACAAAGTCGTTGGGATTCGGGACTTCAAAGCTCCACGTTACGCCCAGCCCGTTTGTTGCTGTTCGTGGCTGGGAGCCAGGTCTGAGAATTAAGAGGGGGGAAACTGCATTATCCTGTTCTGCTGAAAACCTGTGTCAGTGCTGCGAAGTGAGCACCTGACAAACTGAAATATGGAGAGAGGAGAAAGACTCAGAGAACTGTGTCCCCAAATGCAGCAACATCCCTTAGGAACATGAGTCCACTTTAAAAGCCAACTTACATGACACTTTGTTTTCTGCATCACTGTTCAGCAAGTAATGAAGTCACCTCGATGTCAGCATTTAGCACCCAAATCCATTAAAATTCTGATCTGTGAACTCCCAGACTGCTGATGCATTTCAGAAAATGGTACCTCACAGCCATTCTGTGGCATTACTGGAGCTGAACGCAGGGAAGGATGTTTTGGAGAACAGCTAAAAAGTTGCATTTACAGAATGTGTTTGTCAGGAGACAAACTGGGAGTCCAGAGTTGGTTAAATATTAAAAAAAAAGTCTGACTCATGTTCACAAATGAATAAAATTAAAATGCTGACACTTTCCCTGGAGTCCCAGAGGGAGTCACATGGAAATTGTTATGAAAAGTTTATTAATGGTGGCATAAAATATTAATTTTCTCAAAATGTGTTCCTACGGAGTGGCACTCAGGAACTGCTGCCTGCAGGGTTTTAAGAAGAAGCTTTGACCAACTTGATCTGATGGGAGGTGTTCCTGCCCATGGCAGGGGGTTTGAACGAGATGATCTTTAAGGTGCATTCCAACCCAAACAACTCTGTGATTCTGTGGTTCCATGAATCAACCAGTAGAGAAGCAAAGCACAGGTGAAGCTGAGGTTGTTTGCCATGGCCATGCAGTTTGCCACATGCTCTTTCACGGTGAGCTATCAACACGCAGCTGATGTGCAGCAGCTTGTTGAGATGCTGCGACTTGCCCCCGCACACCGGGGTTCCCAAATCCTCAGCCTGGGCTGTGCACGTGGGACCAGCGAGAGGTGTGACTGTTCCCAGCTATCTGTCCACCCCTGCTTGGTCTAGGGCTGTGGAGCCTCCTCTTTCAGACATGATTCATCACCTGGGCAGCAACTGCAGCTCAGCCAGTGCAGGTACCGTGGCAACTCAGGCAGTGTGGGGCTGGCTCTGCCTCCCTGCTGTGGGCAGTTTTTGCCACCACTATATTAAAAAAAATATATATAAAGCTGTTAGAGAGCATCCAAAAGAGGGCTACAAGGATGGTGAAAACACCAAGTAGCCCAGCCTCAAGTGCAGCCAAGGCTGGCAGCCTTCTCTGCCCACCTTTGCCCAAGTGGGATATGTAAGTGGGGTTCAGGGAAGTCTCAGCTGAGGGATCCAACTCTCAGCCCTGCCAGTTTTAGGCGAAGAGGTTTAAATATCTCCATGAGCTGCTCACGCCTGCAGGTTCTCCAGGGGAGGTGGCAACCACTGAAATCAGCCCAGCTAATGCCTGGAGAGCTCATGAGTCAGAGGTGTGAGTAAATGTGAGAACACTCTGCAAGCACAGCTCCTCTAATGGAAACACTCCCTCTTTCACACGCTTAGGAGGAGATACTCTTTTAATAAAATCTAAGTGAGCAGAATATGGTATGAGTAACAGCCAAGGAATTTATTTGCCCATGTGCTTCCTACCTTTCTCTCACACCTCTACTCTTCTGCAGCTTTGCCCATGGTACAGATCTGGGTGGGGTGGAGTGAGTGAATACAGGTAATTTTCTTAATGGGAATATGTGTTTTTTTGCATAGTGTGGCTGCACTTTCACACTTTGCTCAACAAGTGAGGGAGGAAGGAAGAGTTCTGGGGGGAGCTGCAAGAAGAAAAGTAGGTGAATGTTTCTGAAGGCACCATCTGCTTCAGAGGGAAAGGCTGTACATATCTTAGATAAATATTCAGGCTTCAGTGCCCAAATCTGTCCCCCAGTTCTTAGCTCTCTTCATGGAGTGGCAAGAAGACTGGATGCTCAGAGCAGGCAGCTGTGCCATCAGCCTGCAGCTGGCATCTGTCACTGTGTCACGCCAGCCCCCACATCACCTCTGGCCCTAGGATTTATTTGTGCCCTGGGGAAATGGGACAAGGACACGTCTTTAAATGGTACTGGACTGTAGAGGCAGATTATTATGGGATCAAGAGAGAACACTGCAAAAGAAAAGTGGAGTGGTGCAGAGAGCATGGT